GGCGTGACCTCTCTCCCGAGCTGCCCACCAGAGATTTCCACGCCTAACATCACACCTCAACGTATGCATCCTTTTTTTACCATGAACATTAGTCAGCATTCATATTGAGTTGATGCTGTTTTCTCTTGTGAATAGTGGGCATCATTGGAGCTGTCTGAAGATATATGTCATTTTCCTGAGTGGCATCTTGCCTGACATGCCAGGCTCTATGCTCCATCTCTGCCTTTATTCCTCTGAATGCATCAGTATGTGACAAGCAAATTGGATAAGTTGCAGATACCAACTATATTCACTTCCTTAGGGAAAGTTGCAGCCCTACAGAAAAACAGAATAACTTGACCATGTATCCACCATCCAACTATAACTAAGTCTGTACATTTTGCCTTATTTGCTTCAGATATTTTTAAAGAAAGGAAACAAATGTAGATCTTTCTTAACGTGTGTTTTAACATCCCAGCCGCTCCCCACCCCATGCTTTTGGCAGTTTCCCCAGGGATGGCGCCTGACAGAGCTCCTTCAGGGGCAGCGTAGATGTGACCCCTTCCCGGCTCTCGGGCCGGAGTCCCTTCCTGTACGCTTCCCCCTGACGGCACTTAGCAACTCACTGCCTTCGCGCCATGTCCTGCTCACTAATGACCATGCACTTCATCTTTCTCTCCTGCAAGGCGTTGTCCCGGTCAACACTTAATACACATCTAAATGTTCCCTTGCATTTACTTAAGGCAGATAGTGCCAAGTCACAGTGTCAGAGGACAATGTCAAAGTGCAGCCACTAATTCCTACGAAGGAGCCAACCCATGAGAATAAAAATAAAATTTCTAAGGCTTTAATAAACATTTCTCTCACTCTAAAAGGTAAACTAAGGTCGGTTCCTACCTACTCAGAGGCTTTTTTTCATCTCATTACCTCAGTGTAAAATTTTGTTATGAACTTGTAGTAGTCTAAGTCGGAAGCCTGCAAACTTTCCTTGTAAAGTGCCAGCTTTGGCCACATACGGTTTCTGTCACCTACTCTTTTTCTTAACAACCCTTTAAAAATGTAAAAAACATTCTTAGCTAGGTCCCTGTACTAAGTTATTCAAATTTGGCAGGGCTGTTTGGCTCTTTACCTTATCTTCCTCCTGCGTTTAGTCCTTATGCCTCCATGGGAAGAAACACAAAGCGTAAGGACGTGAGGATATGTTTCTCTCCACCGGCATTATGAATAGGATTCTGAGTGAATTGTCTCTTCATATTGTGCACAGGCTGTTTACCTGAGAACAGTATGCCCTAAGAGATTTTAGGAAATGTAGTTGTGTATTCAGCAGTTCTTAATTTTCTTTTTTTTTTTTTTTCAGTCTAGGCTATAGCAGCATAAATCTTTAGGTAAATAATAAGGGTAAAGTCACTCAGTCTAGCTGTGTCTCCAGATAGCAGCTCGTTCCTGAGCAGATTGAGAGACTTTTTGCCAGCTGCTTCGAAAACCTGACAGGCAGGATCTGTTTAGACTAAAATCTATTCCTAAAATAATAGATTTGGGCTGACTATAATTATATAATTGCAAATCTAAAAATGATGGGGGATTTCCTTATAAATTACTATGGAATCATAACTAGTCCAGTGCTATCTGGGAGGTGAATAGTTTTATTAACTTAGAAAGTAAAAAGAAAAGGTAGCGTTCGCACTTCCCCAATCCATCAAGTTTGGAGGAGGGCCGCCATATTGGTAAACCAACAGGAAGGAGCTAGAAGACGCCCGTGCTGTGAACTGGAGGCCCTTTAACATCGTCCTGGGTGTCTGCTGGCCTTCCCGTGCCTTGCAGCCGAGGCCCAGAGTGGTCGGCTGCCTTTTACACATCCACCTGGTGGAGGTGATGGCCCAGGGAGTTCTAGGGTAGTGATGCAATGTATTTATTCCCCTGCAAATCATGTGCTCTGCATTGCCTCTCTTACTAAGAGGGCAAAAAGCATAAACTGCCAAGTCTTCCTGTGGGATTTTCCCCAGAGCTTTCGTGACTGTGTAACCATCATCTTCTTTGTTAAAGCAGCATGTAAGGAAAGCTTGAACTTCCCTGGGGCTTGCCATCTTTGGGGGTCACCGACACACAAGCCTGCCTGTTCACTGCCCTTATGTTTTCTTTACCCCCACCCCCTGTGCAGAGTACATCCAGAAATATGCCACGGAGGAGGCGCTGAAAGAACAGGAAGAGGGCACCGGTGACAGCTCGTCGGAGAGTTCTATGTCTGACTTTTCCGAAGACGAGGCCCAGGATATGGAGTTGTAGTAGAAAAAGCACCTGCTTTTCAGAAAGACTATTATTTCCTAACCATGAGAAGCAGACTATAATATTCATATTTAAACAAAGCAATTTTTTTTATTACTAAACAAGGTTTTTATGAATAATAGCATTGATATATATATATTATATATCACCCTTTAGATCTTGATTTCTTGGTCATTTCTCAACCTGAGGTGCATAGCAATCCCCACATTCCACGTTGGTAGCAGTTATACGGCCCGAATGCATGCGTTCCTAAGTCCATTTGGCCAAGTCAGCCTCCGTGCTGCTGAACTGTCAAAAGAAATAGCCGCTCTGATAGATAGATGTGAGTGAAAATAACAGGAAAAAGTTGCTTCTTTTATTGATGGTTCCAAAGAAACAAACCAAACCAACCAGCTCTTGGATGTGAAGATAGAATAGTGCTTTTTCCAAACGGAAAGGAAAAAAAAAAAAATGGGGGAGGAGAAGGCCTGCTCTGAGAGCCTTTAGAGCCCGCCACGCAAGAAGCAGAGCTGCTCCTGCCTGCCTGCGAGTCCCACCTAGGTGGCCCCGTTTCTGTGGAGTAAGAGTATAAAACAGGGAGCTAATTGGAGTATTGAAACGTAAAACAATTTTTTTGACTCGGATTTTAAGTACATTTTTATATGTAGATTCCTGCCCTTCTCGCTGCCTGGCCCTGCAGCCATGAGTGTTTTGCTTTGGAGAACCTTTGGGAAGTGTTTTCTGAACCTGATTCTTTTTCATGGGGGTAGAGCTTGTAACCCAGACCTTTTTGGAGGGGACAGGACAGGAAGAGAAAAGTGACTGGGAAGATGTTTCCTCTCATCCAACATGTGCAGAGTCACATCCTCAGCCTGTTGTTGGCCGTTTAGAGACTGCTACCCTGGACTAAGAGCTTTAAATTTGAAGGTGATGGTGGGTTGTTTTTGTTTTGGGGGTTTGGTGGGGGTTTTTTGTTTGTTTTTGGTGTGTGTGTGTGAATTGTGCTTAGACAGGTTGCAGATTTAATCTTCACCTATCAAGAGATGGCCTCCTCCTTGGACAGCCGTTCAGTGGACTGTTAGACTCGGGAAGAAGACCCGTCTGGTGGCTGTGACTTCTGGGTACTCTCATTCACGTTTTGGTTTTGGTTTTCCTTCTGCTGCTGCTCTTGGCAGCAGCCTGGTCATCATCTGCTTATGGGAGTGGGAAGTGGGTATTTTAGACCCAACCTACATTCTAAATTTCAAATGAGTAATAATTGGAACAAATGAAGGTTCTTGTACCCAAAGTGACTCTACATGGGGAAAACAAACACAGCTTTTTTTCAGAGAGTGACTGAATAGGAGGAAAGAATTCAGAAATAGATGTAGTAAGACAGGTTTTGAAGGAATAAAATCTCCTGTATATGTTAAGAGGAAATCAGTTTAAAATGCCTGCTAATCAAATGTTTNATGTTTCTTATAACAGGATAGAGTACCTAGAGTAGGGGAGAGAAACGGGAGCACGAAGTCTCCACGGTTCCCGGCTGGCTAAGGAGCCAGGAGCGTGCAGGACAGAGCGGCTCTGAAGTTGTGGGGACGTGTGGTTTAGTCCACAGGTTTTCAGGGCCGACTCGATAAAACACTACGTGACTGCAGGGCTTTAATTCACTGTGTATATGGATGTCATCTGGCTGGAAGGGAGTGAATGTTTATTCAAATGGTAATAAATGCAGTAAATTAGTACTTATCTGTCTTATTAGTTATGGCTTTAAGTGGTCCATATAGTTTCCCGCCCTCATTACCCAGAATAATGGAAAAACTGGTTACATTTACGTCCATTAGAAGTTACGAGAATTGAATTAAATGTCAAGGCCTGTAAAATTGTGTTTAGTTCTTTTACAATCTGGTGCTTGAGTACTTTTCAGAGCGGGGCTTTTCAAAGCTATCGAAAAGGGTGATGTTAAGAGATTACTCATTTTATAAGAATGTAGAGTGCTGTAGAGTATTGGTACAAGTTTTAATTCATGTAGTTATTTCTAAATTCTCAGAAAATAGAGTGAATTAGAATTGGGACAATTGCCTTTCAGAGTGAATATCAGGTATATCTTTACCTGGTTCTTCAAATTAAATTTGAAAAATGTTTAAATTGGTATTGAAAGGAATATGTAATATAGGTCACATGTAAGTGAATTAAGTGAATTTTAAGTGAACGTGCTTGTTCTGTGCGTGATGTATTTCTGCTTGTTTTTTCAGATCTTACCAATATATTTGAGTCCTTCCTGCCCCAGTTGTTGGCCTACCCCAACCCCATAGATCCTCTCAATGGTGACGCCGCAGCCATGTACCTCCACCGACCAGAAGAATACAAGCAGAAAATTAAAGGTGAGAAGGCAGATAATTAACCTGGAGACAGGACTTAAGTCTGTGGGGCTTTGATCATTCAAATCTCTTCTTAGTTACTAATAGTTTTTCTTAGGCCTAAAAAGAGACAGCCTCTGTAGTTCCAAGGGTCAGAGATAACCTTGGGAAGGCTGGAGGCCCCAGCAAGGAAGACGGGAAGGAGAAAGACTGAAAGGCAAGAGGAGAAAGTAGACGGTAGTAGATGGGACCCTGCCCACACCTGTCCACAAGAACCTTTGCTGCCCTGCGTTTCCTCTTGTAAAATCAGAAAATTGGACTTGCGAATAAAGTATTAATTGGAAGGTATAATCTCACATTTGTTTATAGACAGTATCATCCTGGCCCTTCAGGAAAGCAGTTAATTTTGGGGGTTGGGGAAAAACAACCAAACTCATCAGACTTTTTAAAAATAATTTTTATCATTTTACCTGTTGAATTTTTAAAAACAAACAAAAACAACCAGCTGGCTTTTTTTCTTGGTCCCATGCTAATTTGCTTTTACTTTGGGAAGTTTATTTCTAGGCTCATGTCTCCTCTGTTGCAGATACCTGACCCCAGTACCCGGGTGCTATGGGGTTTTTCTATTAAAACTTGAAATGCACTATCAAAGTTGGAAACACGTTAGTGATGGTAGCACTAGTTTCCGCATCCTGGAGGATTTAGAACCCTCTTTTCCCATTCTTAAACAGTTTACACGCTAATGGGGCACGGATTCCCTGAAAAGGAGAACGGGTTGCAGAAGAACGCCTAGTGCCTGACACAGGTTTACTGCTGCTCGTCATGTCCTCTTTAGCTCTGCGTGCTTGAGAACTTCCCAGTGAAAAGTCTAGATACATAAAGTGCCACCAAAAAGGAAAAAGCAGTCCGAGTCCGTGAGAATCGGCCTGTTCTCCTTAACACGTGGCAGGCCCGGGTATCTGCCCCGCTTGGCACCACTTGCCCCTCTGCAGAGCAGTTTAGAGCAGCGCCTCCTGCAGTGTGTGGCCCCTCAGGTGCCTCTGCCAGAGATGGTAGAAGAAATCCTGTATGAGAACTTGACTGTAAAGGCCTTCGCGCTTCATTCTGCAGGTTTCAGACATGGGGGCAGCTGGGGCTACTGGCTGACGGTGGTTTTCCTCCCGTTTGTTTTCTCATTCCTCCCTGGTCTCTGTGGGGTATTGTCTGGTACTTTTGTTGAGAGAAAGTAGAAATAAGTCTAATTAATTTACTCAGGTCTCAGGTGCCTTGAAAATTAATATCTAATTTATGCAGCAGAATATCTATATAGCCAAACAGTCGTATACTTCGAGAAAAAGGCAGGCAGTTTCAACCAAATAAAACTCTGTTGAGACTGTAATAAAAATTTGACAAAAGAATCACTTAACAGTGTCCGCAACCTACTGATGCCTTGGTGCAGACAGAGCGTATTTCTATAGCTCTTACATTCGTTATGGCCCAGCAGTTTGACACTATTCTTGTTTTAGAATATATCTGCTATAGTACCAATTACAAAAGGAACCCAAGCTACATTTTTATCTTAGAATGCCTAGCTCCAGCAGCGTAGGGAGCTCTAGCTTTCTGAAATGTTAGTGTTGGCTATCATTTTGTCTTCCTTAGTAATCTGAGGAAATCATGGCTGTCAGACCTGAGCTCACCCCAACTGCCTAC